TCTTGAATAAAATCGTCAACATATTCATTTTTCAATATTTATTTTTGAACTATTATAGTAAAACATTATATACATACAATTTATCTGGACAACCTTCTGGTCTGTCCATAATTCTTCCATCCGATACATATTTTAAAACTTCTTCATTTGATAAACCTTGATATGGCTGTGCTGCTAGTGTGGCCAATTCCCATAAAACAACCCCAAAGGACCTAAATATAAAGTTTGATAAATAATTTAACTTCGGTATTGTTATTAAAACCAATTCTTGTGCCAATATTCAGTCACAGTTAATCCAAATTGAAATTGCCCTTTGATTATTGACAAAAAAACAGTCTAGCCTGTCTAGTCATTCGGATGTAAGGAAAAACTGAGGTCCCGTGTACGCATTGACAGTTGAAATTCAAAATAAGAGGAGGCCATAGTGCCACTGCCTGGGCAAAATTTTCCTCATAGCACACTGTATGGCGTATGCCCGTCTTCATTAGCGCAGTTTGGAGCAGAACAGCAGGACGTTAAACCCCATTTCATTTCATTTCATTTCATGAAAACAGTATTTAGATGCATATTCCCATCTGATCTAATTATAAACAAAAACCATCAGATTTATAGTTTTAGAATTTGCATTGAATTTCTATTTTCAAATGATGATGATTGATGATGATGATCAAGCAGTAGGTCTATCTTACCTTGGTGAACAATTTTGAAAGTCAAATATCAAATACAAATCTTTATCAAATAATATACTAAATCGGACATATTGCACTACCAAACAAAATGGTCTGAACACTGTCTACTGAGGGTCAACAAAAAATGATTCACTTAGCATTTTATATTTACCAGACATCGGACATGGTTGTAAATATTCCATCTTGTAATGATTCTGGTGCCATCCAACGAACTGGTAAAAGACCTTTACCCCCTTTTCTGTAGTAATCTGTCATATAGATATCTCTGGTCATACCAAAATCTGTAAAACAGAAATTTAATATATAAATCAAATTGTTGAACAGTTTAAAAGGCCAGTCACAGTTTGTAATACAACACGATAAGGAAATAAAAGTACAAATAATATTTACATTTGTAAATAGCATGAGAGTTTATCACACATATTAATAAACACTTTTACTCAGAGAAACACTGACATCCGACATATTTTCTTTTAATAGTGTTAAGATCATGTGATCTTAAAACTTTAGCTGTTGTATACTATACAGTGCACAGCTTTGAGAATCTTCAAAGCCAATTGTATACAAGGTTGATTCTAATGGTATAGTGTGGTTGGTTGCTACCTAAAACTGTCAGTGACTGATCTAAGATAATAGAGTTTGTAACACCCTTTGTCCAGCTCTTCTGAGTCATTCTGTGATGTAGTCATCTCCCTTTTCTCTGTCCTATTTTTGCTACATAATTTTCATTCTAAGCTAACTTTATCTTGCACTATCCTACCAGTCAGTATCATGACTCAATAACAGATCGATAGAATATAATTACAGACTGTATTGGTCGTGCCAAATCATAGACAATTAATAAGGTTAAAAATAACAAATAATAAGTATATTCATCAGACAAATTATATAACTTAAGACACCTATCACAGACATTGACTGACACAAATTCAGGCTTTGTCAGACACAACCGTTCTGGTGCCTGACATTTTGTCTGGCACAGATGTCTTCCTTCAGTGTTTTTATTGATATTTTTAATACATGCCCAGCACAATGTTAAAGATACCTTCCCAGTACAAACTGTATGATTTGATGATATATGTGAACTAAAAACATGTTCAAACCAATTTATCTATTGAAATTTTGCTCCAAATCCCTCTCAAAACATTTTAATTAGAAGGAAAGTTCCTCAATCTATTTAAGGCAACCCTTGTTGATCATGTTACTTGACTTGTGGGGAAAATCCATTTCCAGCTTGTATTTTTTGTTATTCATTGTCCATTTACCATAAATAATAGAAGTCTTAGTAAATTTTCGATTTATCCTCTGCCCCTTTCTTTATCCCCCATTAAAGTCTTTTGTACATTAAAATTTCTCAATGTTATCACAACCGCTAGCCATTCAATCAACAGATACCAAACACTGTATCACAACCAGGGCCATAATACTGCTTCACATCTCTCATCATTGAAGACATGTATACGGCCTCGTACACAAATTTAAAAAATATTATGTCGAGCAAAGAGGAAACTGAGAGTCTGCCAGTTAGGGAGACACTTACATTTTTGCCTTGTGGGCGCCCCATAAATGTTGTTCGGGGAATCTAGTATTATTTTTGAAATAAGATTAGGTGTCTCTACTTTCCATATATACCAAAATTGCCATACTATTATTGGAAATACTATCTGATAAATACTTTCGTGGGAATGTATCTTTTAAAATGACAGATACTAATTCATCAGTGGCTGATAGTTTGTCAGGCCTGTAAACCATTTTAAGTGTACAATGATAAAATATCTGGTCAAATTTACCTCCTATCTTTACAACATTGGCTTCTGATACCATACAATTTCTGGCAGCTAAATCTCTATGAACAAATTTTTTATCAGCTAAATATGCCATTCCATCAGCTATTTCTCCCAATATTTGTAATATTTCTTTTAATGTAGGTGGTGGTGGACGATTTTCTTCCTATTTTTAAAAAGAAATGTATGAAATCATTGGCTAAAAAAGAGGAAAATTGGATATATGTATCCCAAAAATTAAAGTATGCTATGGTTGTACTTCACTGTTTTATGGTAAATAAAACATGTTTATACTGAAAAACTTGATGAACAAAACACTGAGACAATTTAACTGAAATGAATTGCGTTTGTTCGTTTGTGGGGTTTACTGTCTGCTTCCACCAATGGTAATATCGCAGACAAAGATCAAGTTTGTACCTTAATGGGGTTAATATCTAAACCAAAGGTAAATATCTACCTGTCTAAGAATAGTAACAAGGAAAGATGCAAATAACTAGCCATGGGCGTGATTGAAAAGTGTGTAACTTATCGCTGGAAGTAAAAACTATTTCTCGTAATTCACACAAATTAACGTGATTGCTGATGGCTAATAATTAATGACACTTAATAAGTTACTGCTACACACTAGTATGTTTACCATTGACTGTCCACGTTTTTCTATTGACATTGAACTTCTGATGTGAAACCCTATACATTTAAATATACTATTCAAAAAAAGTAGGGGATATTTGATTTTGGGGGCATAATACTAAAATATGCAAATGACTACGAAAAAAGTCACTATAAAACCTAACAGAAGAAACATTTCCAGTTACATGTGACGCCCAAACGCACCAATAGCTACCGCATGGAATGCAGGTGATGCTTGGGATCATCATGGGGGTCCAACCCAAGATTTGCACGACTCTGACTTTGAATGTTACAGTCATTGTGGCATTGAATTCCAGGGTGGAAACATCAGTTTAATTGTTTTAGTGACCAGAAAACAAATTTTGATATGCGTCGGCTTACCCAAAATGAAAGGTTACGTGCCCTTGGCATGCTACAGATCGGCACAACACAGGCGGTTGTGGCGCGGACGATGAATGTTTCTCAGTCTGTCATAACCAGGCTATGGTCCAGATACCGTGATACACAATCTGTACAGGACAGACCACGCTCAGGTCGACCAAGGGCGACAACTCAAGCCCAGGATCGATTTATCCGTACCTTGGCCTTGAGAAATCGTGTCATCACAGCAAATCAGATCAGCGCTCGTCTTCAAACAGACACTGGTGTGAGAGTGAGTGGCCAGACGATTCGGAATCGACTGCATAGGGGTCACCTTCGCGCCCGACGTCCTCGCGTGATCCCTTGTTTGAGAGATCATCACATTCAGGCAAGACGTCGTTGGTGTAGGGATCGTCAACACTGGGATAATCGACGCTGGAGCAATGTGATGTTTTCAGATGAGTCAAGGTTCACTGTTGATTTTTTGGACAGACGTAGGAGGGTGTGGCGTCGTCGAAACGAGCGCTTCCAAGACGTTAACATCATCAGACATGATCGATTTGGGGGTGGTTCTGTTATGGTGTGGGGAGGCATCACTGTTGCTGGAAGAACGGCTTTACATGTTGTTGCAGGGCGTGTTAAAGGCCAGTACTACCGGGACAACATCTTGGCAGTCCATGTTGTGCCGTTCGCACGACGTCATGGCCGCCGTTTCATCTTCCAGGATGACAACGCAAGATGTCACAGGGCCAGGATCGTTACAGGTTACCTCCAACAACAGAACATCACCACATTACCTTGGCCAGCACTGAGTCCCGACCTCTCCCCCATCGAGCATGTCTGGGACATGCTTGGACAGAGGTTACGTCAACGTCAACAACGTCCTGCCAATGTCCAAGAACTTGCTGCTGCGTTGCAACAGGAATGGGACAATCTGGACCAAAATGACCTTAGACGTCTCATTAGGAGTATGCCACGTCGGATCAATGCTTGTTTGGCAAACAGAGGAGGATTTACCCGTTACTGACTTTTTGTGATGCTGTGGTAACTTTGCTGTTTGACCCCGGGTATCATTTTACCCTTATAATGGTCAGTCTGTGCCTTACTTAGTCTAACGATCATTTGGAATAAATCGATGAATGTGAACTTCATTTCATTTTGTCATTTGTTTCTTCGTCAGTTTCATTAGGTGACTTTAATAACACTTAAAAATCAAATATCCCCTACTTTTTTTGAATAGTATATATATATATAGCATGGAATGTCATCATTGTTGTGTCTCTAGGGGGTAGTGGGCGTTAAGCTCGACAACAACAACACAATATCATCATTTTCTGTGATATCAATCTCGGTGAAAGTTGACATTAAGCTCAACGAACAAACCAACAATCACCATTATTCATCACCTTACTGTGTGCATTATTGGCACAACATCCAAGATTGAGATCCGACCCTTTAAGTGATATTGTGTGACTAGCTTTTAAATGTAGAATACTATACTGGTGTTTTTTGCAATGAATTAAAACAATATTTGTACTCACTTCAGAATCTGGTCTATGAGATCTAAGGAAATTTTTTAAGTCACCATTTGCCATTAACTCCATTATAACTAGAGCTGGTTGTCCTTTAGATACAACACCCAGTAGTTTTACTACATGGTGACATTTAAAGGCTCTGGAGAATAAAAATATAGAAATGAGCTATGATAAAAATCCATTCTTTTTACCTGTGAGAACAAGATTTGGATTTTGTCATATGAATTTATGCATTTAATTTTTGTCAAGAATATGATGAAATTTCAAGATAGGTTGCCAGGCAACAAAACATACGCCCAGAGCAGCTAAATCATCCCAGCGGTCGACAAGGGTTGTCGCACATTTATTCTTTTGTAGATTATACAGATCAGATTATAATTTTTGTTGTTTGAGGGTTCACAATAAGGTTCTACAAACTGAAACAAGGGCCTTAACTCTGGAAGTAATACACAGATGCTGAAATTCAACCGGCTTTTTCGTTTTACTAATTCAAATAATGCATATAAATTTAATACAGATAAGATTAGAATTTTTGTCATTTGAACATTCACAAGGTTCAAAGTGAAACTCCAGAAGAAATATTCTAGAGTGTTCACAAGAAATTGTGGGCAACAGACGGACGTATGGATGGGGATGATGGCAATATACGACCACATTTCCATGTGCGCGTATAAAAATATTAGATTACTGCCAGTATTATTTTACTTTCTAGCTTTTTTTATTCAAATTTTGGGTTATGGGTGCCCAACTTACTTCATTATGGAAGCCTCTTTTAAAAAGTTCATTTTATCATACCAATTAGCATCTTCATTTACAATCTAGAAATAAAATTGTCACACATTAAATTCTAAGTCCTTAAAAGCTATGTCATCACCCACAGATAATGTATATGTGATAGAGAATATTCCATATACAATTTTGAAATTAGCAGGTTGTTATGAAACCATAGACATTATGATGATTGAGTGACACAAAAAGTAACACAGATGATTTCCAGTTCTCTAATACTTGCTAGCTGTTAGATGAGGATATCAGTTTGAAACTAAAATATCTATAAGAACCACCAACTGCCAACGTGAGAAAATATAGAAAGAACAAAATGCATGAATCATATATCGTTAAAACGTACATTAAACCTCGACAACTAGGAATGCCTTGAATTCAAATTGTTTAATTGATTATTTTCATCTGCTGTCAAATGAAGTAATGCTCATACAAGCTTACTACCACTGATTTAGGAATCTGGTCCCATATAGCCCTAGACTTTTTAATTTAATTATCTTAGATTCATAGTTATGCTCAAGACTAAGTATGCATACTTTCTGCAACACCTTGCTGATATTGATATTGATTATTTGTGTTTGGAATGTTCTTTTTGGATTCACTTTGAAACTGATATTGACATATACGTATTAATGTTTTAAATTTATATCGTACACCAGTAGGTTTTGTCCTGCATTGCTGCATTGTCTTATAAAAAAACCATCCATCCCTTTTTTGGCCCGGCCAGTCCCCTCTAAACTAGGTATGCATGTTGTTCAAAGGAATAAAAATTAAGATCTTTTTCCATCACAAAGTGTCAAAAGATTAGTGTCCTTATTGAGACTCGATTTCAGATTGATCCAAATGTCGAGATATGCATCAATATAGTTGTTGAAATTTGATCAAATTCGAAAATGCATGATCACTGATAAATATCCATTTAAAAAACAAAACGCCACTGATATTTTCAACATGTATAATGACTGCGCATTGGTTTCATTTAGCCTAGATCGAAACCTCTTTTTCTTATTATTCAGTACAGGTCTATATCTTTGTCTTTAAAGTGTTACTAATAAACAGTAAACACATCTAAGCTATTTGTCTAGAATTTCTAATATTACCTTTACAGCTACTCGGATGCTTCCTCTTACACCAGGTTGTATATCTTTAGCAATACCTTCCCACACCATACCAAATGACCCTTGACCTAACTCCTTAATAAACTTGATTTTATCTCGTTCTATCTCCCATTCATCAGGAATATACACTACAATACAAAAAAACCCACAGTACAATACAAAAAAAAAATCACACTACAATAAATAAAATACAAGTTTGTATTTCTATGTCCAATGTAAACAAAGCAAGTGTTAAGTGTTATCAATGCCATATGATGCAACGTAAGTTACGTAACTCATAGAATTTTACTGGGCGTGACCTTAACGGTCAATCATCAATTAAAGAAGGCTTTTGTATTACCACTGTGAAGCAGTTTGTCAAAGTAGGACACGCAATAAAAGATAGGTTGCCAGGCAAAGAAAAACATGTTCATAGCTGTTTAGTCTGAGAAGGCAATAAATTTTATCGAATTGTGTATCAATAAAATAAAGATCCGTTTGTATTCTGTATAAAATCTCTGCCATTTTGACAAAAGTTAACTTAATCAATAGTAATTATTTGTTGTAATCATTTTTCATTGCAATAATCGAAAAACACCGAAATTCAACAGAATTAGAATATACCCCATTTCGAAGAAGGTGCATAATTTGTTATCAAGTTAAAAAGATTTTGATCATCTGAAGAGAATATTATCTTTGTAACTTACCATCAGCAGTAGGCATATAACTTGGGTTTATAGATACTGTTGTCATATCCTGATCTTTAGAAAATCTGAAAAAGGATCATTTATACTTTAGTTTCCAGAATTAATTCTGGTAAAGCACATTGCAATTACTAAAATCCATTATATAATAGCAACCTCAAAATATTTCCCTGATAGAATTTATTTCAGGGAAAATTCCCTCATAAAGCTTTCATATTTCATATACTTATTGTTTTTATAAAGGTTGTTATTAGAATTTGGATTATTATCACTTAATAATGTCTGAAAGCAGCGAATGTCGTTTTAAAATATTGCCGTAATTCTAACATTTGATAATTTATTTGATTTGACCAATCTTTGCAGATTTGAGTTTTTACAAAAAGCCTTGTTATTTATGAATATTCTCTTACTAATTTACTTTTGCTGCAATTCGATAATTTAGTTATAGGGACTTAGATCAATTATTTAAAGTAATTTGTATAAAACAAAATTCATACAGTTAATATGCTCCATGGTGCAAAGTGTGAATTTTGACATAAACTAAAAATTTTAATGCCTTTTCAAAACCAAATTTTAATTTACATAAATCTGATATATCTAGAATAATATGTCTAGTAAAAGTACACAAAATGTTCACATTTTTGGACCATTTTGATACAAAAGGGAAAAAAACGGTGTAAAAATTAGCCGTTTACAATGCATCCAACTGTTTCTTATTTTAAATATTTATTAATAACTTTTATAACCTAAACTTCCAACAAGAGCTGGATAGACAACAAGCTAACAAACAAGCCAACAGTGAGGCTGATGTCCCCCGCCGAAATTGCAAAATAAATAGATGACACATATTAATTAATCGCACATTTATTTTTTTCACTAAGTTTCATCACTCTCTATCAGATAGAATCAAGATTATCTTGTCCCAAACCATCGACAAATGAAATCGATTAGCTCTGCTTAGCTTCAGCTCGAAATGTTAATTATTGAACTCAGTCAAGACATTCACCTAATGAACATCTACATATACATCAAGTTTAAACATTCACCTAATAGACACCTATGCCAAGTTTGAACATTCTACCTCAATTAGAAGGAGAGTTATTGTGTTCCAAAGTTTCTACCAATAAAATTGCTTATCACTCTGCTTACCCTCAGCAAAAAATGTTCATTATCGAACTTAGTTAAGGTATTCATATAATAAATCTATACACCAAGTTTCATCAATCTCACTTAATTAGAACTAAAGTTATCGTGTCCCAAAGCATCAACCAATCAAATTGCTTATCTCTGCTTACCCTATGCGGAAAATGCTCATCTTCGAACTCCATCAAGGCATTGACCTAATCAACACATACACCAAGTTTGAACATTCTAGCTCAATTAGGAAGAGAGTTATCGTGCCCCAAAGTATCAACCAATCAAATTGCTTATCTCTGCTTACCCTAAGCGGAAAATGCTCATCTTCGAACTCCATCAAGGCATTGACCTAATAAACACATACACCAAGTTTGAACATTCTAGCTCAATTAAAAGTTATCGTGTCCCAAAGCATCAACCAATCAAATTGCTTATCTCTGCTTACCCTAAGCGGAAAATGCTCATCTTCGAACTCCATCAAGGCATTGACCTAATCAACACATACACCAAGTTTGAACATTCTAGCCCAATTAGGAAGAGAGTTATCGTGTCCCAAAGCATCAACCAATCAAATTGCTTATCTCTGCTTACCCTAAGCGGAAAATGCTCATCTTCGAACTCCATCAAGGCATTGACCTAATAAACACATACACCAAGTTTGAACATTCTAGCTCAATTAGGAAGAGAGTTATTGTGTCCCAAAAAGTGTGACGGACAGACAGACGGACAGACAGACGGACGGACAGACGGACAGACAGACGGACGAACCCATTTTAATAGTCCCCTGCTTTCTTCGAAAGGCGGGGGACAATAAAAAACATGATTTTTCGTACAATCTGGGGCCATAATCCAGTAAATTATAGTTTGAAATGCGCGAATATTGACAGAAACTGAGATCTTTGGGATAATAACATATATTTTAAGTTTAATCAAAATCTGACAATCAGCAGTTGCCAGGCAGGATAGGCCCACATTTTGCAAGAAATAGATAGAGAACAAGCTAAAAAAAAACAGCAGTAGCCATGCAAGATACACCCAAATTTTGCACGAGATAGATAGAGAACAAACTAAAAACAAAAGCAATTTTCCGTACAATCAGGGGACATTAAACAAAAAGTTATGGTCTGAAATGCACAAATATCGAAAGTGACTGAGATCTCTGGGATATAAAGATATATTTTAAGTTTCATCAAAATCGGATACAAATTATGACCTCTGGAGGTTCCACAACCTTCGTATTAAATACTTTTACACAATTTGAGTACAAAGAGCAGTGATTTTGTCCAGCAGTTTCATTTTGATTTTCTCAAAATTCGAATCCAACTGACATGACGGTGTAACGATGATATATGCGAACGTTTTTTTAAATCGAATAAAAATTGTGACTGAAGTGGGACCACAAGCTAAATAGGTGATTTTCCGTTCGATCAGGGGCCTTAATTCAGGAAGTTATATACGATCCAATTACAATATGCGCGAATATCTAAAGGATCCATTATAAACATGCATTCAAGTTTTATTAAAATCAGATCAAAATTGTGGCATCCAGAGCGTCCACAACCTTGATATACCATATTTTTACACTGTTTGCATACAAGGAGCGGCCATTTTGTCTGACAGTTTTGGTCCAATTTTCATGAAATTTGAACTCAAGCGACATTATGGTGTAACGGTTATATATTTGAATGTTTTTTTAAATCGGATAAAAATTGTAACATGTAGAGGGACCACAAGCTAAAAACGTGATTTTTCATACTATGAGGGGCCATAATTCAGGAAGTTAAGATCCGAATAGCGCGAATATCGAAAGGAACAAGATCGTTGGGTTATTATAAATATGCATTTCAAGTTTTATCAAAAGCGGATGAAAATTGTGATCTCTAAGAGTGTCCACAAGCTAAAAACGTGATTTTTCTTGCGATCAGGGGCCATAATGAAGTTACAGTCCTATAAATGCCAATATCGAAAGGAACCAATATCTTTTGTATATAAACCTATTTCTAGTTGTGTCAAAATTGGATAAAAATTGTGACCTGAAGAGTGTCCACAAACAAATTGTGCACAGACGTCTGAATTGGACAAGATATGCCGACATTCTCATCAATGCCGAGAAATAGCCAATTCTGTCATTTGATACTTTTTAAAATTCAAAAAGGTTTTACAAAAGGCGAATCCTGTCAAATGTTGCGAAATATAATGTGTATTTCCATTTTCAAATTTAAATATTTTGCTGATAACATAAGTTATGTCATCTTGAAAATGATTCTTTAGGCACAAAAAATCTATAAATTCATCTGAAATCTCTGGATTTCTTTTGATAAGTTTCATTGGTACGTTGAGTAAACATCGCTCAAAGGTTAAAAAAAAAGGTCCCCAATGAAACCAGTCATAGCAATCATTAGAACTGCAAGTTTCTGTGGAATTGGGGACTTCCCCTTTATGGTAAATAAATCAGCAAAACACAGACAATGTGAGATCTATAAAAACTAACATGAATAATGTTGAAGGCATTCTAATTCTCCAAGCATTGTTAAATATAGTGGTACTTACTTGCTTTTTGCAACAAACCATACAACAATACCTATGATGATACTGACCAGTATGACTACTATCACTATTACAGCTATAACTGTTCCCATTAAAACTTTTTCATCTAACAAATAATATAAAAATTGTAATGTTAAATTATCAGCATTTGCATTTAAATCCTTCATGTTCATGGAAAGAAGAACAGTCAACAATGAACTGGTTTAGACCATGCTTTAAACATTTTAATTAGCATCTTTTGAAAGGTGTGAACCATTTCTAAATCTGGGGAAAAAAACAGGAAACGATGGCAATGTCTGTAACATCCACTGAGAGCTACAGAATAACTGAACTCTCGAATGTTCACAAACAAAGTAGAAATCATCCAAGAACTTTTGATTCGACAAAAGTTGTTGACTCTAGTTTGGGATATAATCATATATTTTAATTTTCATCAAAATTGGATAAAAATTGTGAATTGTGAAGCAGAGCAATTGGTAACGGTTGTCGGAAGAGTCTTTTGAATATTTAAACAAGCAAGAGCTGGACAGAGAACAAGCTAAAAAAAAGGGATTTTTCGTACAATCAGGGGCCATAATCCAGGATGTTATGGTCTGACATGCGTCAATATCGACAGGAACCAAGATCTTTGGGATATAAACATATATTTTAATTTAAGTTTCATAAGTATTAAAGGATAAAAATTGCGACCTCTAAAGGGTCAACAAGCTAAAAACATCATCAGGGATAATAATAATAATAATAATAATAATATAATAATAATAATAGATTTATATAGCGTAAGATTACGTTAAATTTTCTAATGCGCTTCCAATCAACTAACACTATGAAAGAACTAATTGTTGAATAGGCATGTTTTCAACTCGAGTTTGAATTGGTCAATCGATTTAACCATCCATAATTCTTTGGGAAGATTATTCCACAGGTAGGACCTGAGAATGAAAAAGTTAGTTTTTCTAGTTATAATTTCACAGATGGAGTTAACAGTTTATTTGTTGATGATGACCTCAAGGCTCTTGTGTTGTTCTCACATCGGTTTAACAGCTGTTTTAAAAATAATTAATGGTGTGATTTGTCGTTCAAGGCTTTATGAGTTTGCAGCAAGATTTTGAAAACAATTCGTTTTTTGACGGGCAGCCAGTGTAGGGAACGGAGTACTGGTTTGATATGATCAAATTTCCTTGTTTTAGTTAAAAGTCGTGCTGCAAAGTTTTGAATGTTTTGTAGTTTTCTGACTTGATAGTCAGGAAGTCCATAGAGCAGAGCATTGTGGTAGTCTAGTTTTGTAGTGATGAAGGCTTGGATGAGATTTTCTGTTATTTCTGGAGTGAGATATTTCTGTATTCGGGAGATCTGTTTAAGGTGGTAAAAAGCTGATGAACATATTGACTATATATGACACTTGAATGAAAGGTTAGGGTCAATGGTAGCTCCAATATTCCTTACTTTTAATGTAGTGATAATTGTTTCTTCTTGAAAATGAATGTTTATTTCATCGAATTTGGATAGGTGTGATAAACTTGAAGACATTAAACTTAAAATTTTAGAAGTGAACAAAACAATGTGATTAGACATTAATTATCTTCCCAATAATTAACACCTTACTTGCCATTAAGTTGATTAACTTCTTTGTCAACTACTCGTCAATACTATTACCGTAGTTATAGACAGGCAAGAGATGGATAGAGAACAAGCTAAAAAACAAAAGCGATTTTCCGTACAATCAGGGGCCATAATCCAGAAAGTTATGCTCTGAAATCTGCACATATCAAAAGGGAGTGAGATCTTTGGGATATAAAGATATATTTTAAGTTTCATCAAAATCGGATAAAAACTGTGACCTCTAAAGGGTCTACAACCTTCATATTATATACTTTTACACAGTTTGCGTACAAAGAGTGGACATTTTGTTGGGCAGTTTCGTTTTGATTTTCCCAAAATTAAAAGTCAACCTTTATTATGGTGGAATGGTGATATATTTAATCGTTTTTTAAAATCGGATAAAAATATTGACCTCTAGAGAATCCACATGCTAAAAAAACACGATTTTTCGTACAATCAGGGGCCATAATGCAGGAAGTTACTGTCTGATATGCGAGAATACCAAAGGAACCAAGATCATTGGGTTATAAACATATATTTCAAGTTTCATTAAAATCGGATAACAATTGTGACTTCTAGAGGGTCCACAACCTTGGTATCACATACTTTTACACTATTTGTGTACAAGGAGCGGCCATTTTGTCCGGCAGTTTTGGTCCGATTTTCACAAACTTCAAACTCAATCGACATTATGGTGTAACGGGGATATATATGGGTTATAAATATACATATCAAGTTTCATCAAGATCAGATGAAAATTGTGACCTCTAGAATGTCCACAAGCTAAAAACGTTATTTTTTGTACAATCAGGGGCCATAATCCATGAAGTTATGGTCTGATACATGCCAATATCGAAAGGAACCAAGATCTTAGGGAGAGAGATCTATATTTCATGTTTCGTCAAAATCGGATAAAAATTGTGACCTGTAGAGCGTCCACAAACAAATTGTGGAGGTCCGGACAGACAGGAGAGAGAAATGGGGTTTAACGTCCACTTGACGCAAACTACATGTAGGTCATTTCGGGACTAACACATGGTTCATTTTTATTTCAATAATTTGCTTGCGCATAGGGATCTTTAGCAGTGGGAGGAAACCGGAGGACCCGGAGAAAATCCACGAGGTTGGACAGACGACCCTACTCCTTGTCACGTACAACCGGGGAATCAAAATCCCTCCAGTTGACTTAATGACAGACCGTATGATACAGCGCGCGCGTGCTAACCATTCGGCCATCCACCCCCCCGGACAGACAGGAGCAACAGCATAATACGTCCACATGAAAATGAGGGCGTATAACAAAGATCCTTGTGACTTTATTTTCTAAAACAATATTTTTCTTTTTGAGAATGAAATTATTGCGATGTTTTTTGCAACACACAAATAAATACTTTAAGTAACTTATCAAACCAGTAATTTTCCTACATTTCCTAAACCATCATTTTTTAATGAGCTTTTACCAAGAATTATAACTAGAATCCTTTACCGCATATATTCATTTGACTAGAATAATTAACATAAAGTATATATTTGGAAATTTGTAAACATCTTACCTGTTGGGGGTTTTATATGAAAATATTTAGGTACAGTCCAAGTTCCATTTCCAGCTAAAGATGTAGCCCGTATTTTAAACGTGTAATTGCCTGGTGTTACTTTTTCAAAACGGTACCCATTTATTTCTCGATATTTTTTATGGGGTAAACAAATACGTACAGGATTAATCTGTTTAAAAATAATAATAAATACATACATTCAAAAGTGATATGATGGATCCACAGGATTGAACTTGAGACCATAACAAATTTTGACCTAGTTATTTATTAAGTATTGAAACACTGGCCTACATAAAGGTGTTTTCAACAATTTTTGCAGAATATGCATATATTCGGCCGAATGGGTGGACACACTAGCCGAATGCTTCGCCCGATTCAACCTGTCGATTGCATCACCTTTCACGTCACATGATTAAACATGGTGGCGACGATGTCTTCAATCTATCACGTGACTTCTCGATTTGAGTGGTGATTGGCTAATGAATTCTATATTCGGCCGAATGCTTCGGCGAAGCGGACACACCAGGCAAATAAATATTCGGCCGAATATATCAAACCTGTTTGATTCAGGCGAATCATTCGGCCGAATGACAGTGGACACACTAGGCGAATTTCGACGACGATTGATTCGGCCGAACGATTCAGGCGAATCATTCGGCTAGTGTGTCCACCGCTTTACAGCAACATTTATTGTGCAAAAATAGATCTACCGTATAGGCTAGTCACTGTAAGAGTTATAATTTGACAATTATTCAATAACAACTGTGGCCTCTGGAAGAGTCCTAATCAACAGACACAATTCTGAGAGATATTGTTTGTAAGGCCAAACCCATATAATTTTTATTTCTTCATGAGCTGGATAAATAATGGATTGATGTTTTGTTATAGAATTATAAAAACTTAAATCTTTATTAAAGTATGAACTTTTGAGAAAAGCAATTATTTATGGTTTTGAATATTTTTGTTTTCACGAAATATGTAGCAAAATTTTACCAAGTGTTCTGAAAGAACTTAAATTCAAATTATCAGCAAAAATCAATAGGATGCTTCCTTTTATTAAACTGATAGCGCTATTAAAATTTCAAAACAGTCCAGTCGTAACTGTTGTTTCTTAGAGTCTTAAGATGGAATGGTGGAAAGTCAGGTTGACAACTATAACGAACCTTATAACAATGTGCACATGGGTGTTTAAAATTTGAGTGCATTTAAAAACATCCTTATTTTACTTACATTATTTGGATTGATTATTTTATATTCCACTTCAAATGTTATAATTAATCCATTTGGATTGGGTGGAGATTGCCAGGTTATTATAACTTCACTGGTATTATTTATCCTCACTTGTACAGTTGTATCATTAATATTATCTGCTGTGGCTGTTAGATAAAATGACCAAAATTATATGATGTTAATAATAATAGCATTTGTATATTAGCCAGCATATAATGTTAACATTAGTCACTCTGTATTTTAACCGGAATATGATAGTAATAAAAAATGGCCCAACCAAAGATTTGGTGAAGATTATACATGTAGGTGGCTTGTTTTGACTATATCACATCCAAGATATGCAATGAATTTAAAATCCTTTAAATGACGATTAAAAACGTTTAAAAGTTCATACAGAACTTCTGAATTTAAACTTTGACTTTAGTAATGACCAATACCCTATAGTTGAAATTATATCTAGCTGTAAGTACTCATGGATGCTGTGACTGAAGCAGGTAGACTTATGCTTTCTAGAATACCCAATGCCTTTTGCATTTTCTGTGGAATTTTAATTCCATTTAATCAATAATAAATTCATCAATTCAGAGTAAAAAATTACATTTAAAGTAAAACTTACGAGACGCAAGTGTTTTACCAATACCGATAGTTGATCCTGAGGCGTCACTACAAAGGTAATTACCATTTTGCAATGTTTCCAAACAAGCCAATACCTACAAACATAAAGTTAATAAAATATCAGTTTTATAATATTGAATGAACTCATAAATAAAACCATCAAATATATCAGGGTGTGTGATTATTAAAACCTGTTTAAATCATTGTATATATTCCACAGCACGTTATCCATTCATCAATTTGTGTATACAATTTTCATAGGTTATAAGTGTATAAAGTATATAAATTTCAAGTTCATCAGGTGCTAATGTCCGCTGTTGGACAATTCACAATATTAAAGTGATTAAAGGCAATAATAATAGTGGTTATTATTGGAAATATTTGAAATCAATTTATTTTCTTTATGTCACTTAACAACACATACAAATTTCTACAGAATGTTACTTTAATACATAGATAGAAACTGAAATTAATTTAGTACTGTACCGTGATATGATAAATTTCAAAATGTCCGAGATTAGGAATGATTATATTGGTACCATAAACTATGGCTTGCATGGCAGTAAAATCTGGACTTGTATCTTCTGTTATATTTTCTTCATTAGTACCATTAACTGTTCCATTAAACGTTCCATTAATAATCCCGTTTAAAGTTTCATTCATTTCTGCATTTACTATTTTATTTATTTTCTCTTTGACTTTTGGACTGTCTGCAGTATATCGCCTCTTCCCTTTTTCAATGTCCGATTCTGATGGTTTTTGTTGCCTTTGACGGAGTTTTTTATTTCGATCAAATAATTTGTGGACATTCATTTCTTTATCAACAACAGTTTTCAGAGCTTTAGAATGAGGCCTGTAAAAAGAAAAAAGGAATTAGAATATAATGTAAACTAACTTTTATAATATAAATATGTATCCATTAAGACTCTATTTTAAGGCAGTGATTCCCAGGTACACTGACCTTATTCATAGAGAGAGAGAGAGAGAGAGAGAGAGAAATGGGGTTTAACGTCCACTTGACACACTCTAGGTCATTTCGGGACTAACATATGGTTTAATTTTATTTCAATATTTCAATTGCGCGTAGGGGTCTTTAGCAGTGGGAGGAAACCGGAGGACCCGGAGAAAACACACAAGTTTGGACAGGCGACCCTACTCCTTGTCACGTACAACCGAGGAATCAAAACCCCGCCAGTTGACTCGATAACAGACTTTATGATACAGTAAGTACACGCTAACCATTCAGCTATCCACCCTCCCCTTATTCATATAAAATTTGGCTTAATCAAACAGTATCTCCGACACGAACAGATGGAAATAAATCAGATCCAATGTTTACTATACTTGTACTGACCATAAAAGATTTTTGTGTCAATATTCCAATATTTTTCTCGGTGGGTATATCATAAGTCTGTATATTATATACTTACACTTTTTTAATAAAAATATCTCTCAGACGATTCTCAAATTCAATTTGATTTAATCGATTCTTCTTAGATTCTTCAATTTCTTTCTTTGATTTTGGACAAGTACAGCAGCTATTTTCATCTGTGACTGTTTTATTGCCTGCTTCTTCTTCTTCCAAAAACCTTTCTTTAGCTTTATTCTTGTTACTATTCCCAACAATAGCTGTAATAATGATTAAAGATACATTATGGGAGATGAGATAAAGAGCTGGCAGTTCTCACTATAATAGTTAAAAACTTGATAATGTAAAGGGAATTTGCTGAAAATTTCAGTCAAATTGATCCACTCTGAACCGAGAATTTAGCCATTGAATTTTCGGCCTAGCCTCAACCATCATTACTATAGTCGGTACGATAAAATACATAGTCTTGATTATCCATTTCTTGATTTAATCATGAATGAGCGTAAAGCAGCAGATCGGATCCTAATCCAGTAAATATCGCAGGCTAGCGATGACATCGAGGGTTGATTATGGTCTGGATATAATTAATGTCTAATTAACATTTCAGGCTCAAAGAAAGACCTGCAATAGGCCGATTTAGCTCTTGCATAACATATGTTTAATTAGAACTAAAGTTATCGTGTCTTAAAGTATCAACCAATCAAATTGCTCATCTCTGCTTACCCTAAGCAGAAAATGTTCATCTTCAAACTCCATCAAGGCATTCATTCACCTAATAAACACTACGCCAAGTTTACACTCTAGCTTAATTAGAAGGAGAGTTATTGTGTCCCTACAAGTGTGACGACAGACAGCCAGACAGACAGACACACGGACAAACACATTTTAATAGTCCCCTGCTTTCTTCGACAAAACATGTACCGGTAATTAGATGATAAATTAAAATTTGAGATAACTGACTTCTTCAAATTATGAACATAAACACTGCGGACAATCAGATAATAACATAACCTCTAGAACATCCACAAGATCAAAGGCTATAAGTCTGACAGTAATTATCAGATATAGTAAGTGCACCACACAAAATTTACACAAAAACAAATACACAGACAAGACATAATACTCAGAAAAACACAAACAAGCAGACAATTCAAATTCAAAATGGATAATATGTTATTATCAAACACTGCTTTAAAGTTAGTGATATTTGTCTGGTTTGAAAATGACTAGTTGACTAAATTACCCAAGTTGCAATACAATATCTGGAACTACAGTGGAATGAAATGGGGTTTAACGTCCTACTGTTTTGCTCCGATCTGGGCTAATGAAGACGGGCATACGCCATACAGTGTGCTATGAGGGAAATTTTGCCTGGACAGCAGCACTACGGCCTACTCTTATATCGAATTCCAATTGTCAAGGGATCTTTACGTGCACGCCAATGTGTATACGGGACCTCGGTTTTTCTTCTCATCCGAATGACTAGACAGCTGTCCTTGTCAGGCCCTCCCTACTGCATCACTGACAAGGGCGAACCACGCCGGAAAATCTGAGAACTTTCTCGGCCAATGCAGGGATCGAACACCCGACCGCCAGGCTAGCGAGCCAGCGTCTTACCCACTCAGCCAACATGATCACCGAACTACAGTGGCCAAAAGTAAATGCAACATAAACTTTCAGAATGACATTTGTTTTGGAATGACGGCCCTGTTCTAGATTCTTATTAGTTTTATCATTAATATTATCTTATTACATAATCAGTGACTCACGTTCTAAACAATAATCCCTCTGATCAAAATCTTCATGCGCTAACGCTTGCAGCTTCCAATAAACTAAATAATGTGTTACGTTTCCATTTGGTTCATCTGGTGGATTCCATCGAACCTGTAATTCTCCTTTATCTTTAGCTAATATTTTCAAATTTGTTGGTCTTGATGGTTCTAAAGGTAGAAATAAATAAAAGTAATTATACCAGACTTCTGCATTCTACTGTAATAGTACTAATATACTAATATTTCAAATTCTTAAATATATTAATCAAGGTTAATTATAGATGACAGAAAATACTTATAGCTTAATTAAAGTAAGAGTAATTGGATGCATCTATTGGCAACAACAATTACTAGATTTAATCAAAGGGACATTACGTTCAGCTACAATTTACTTCCACAACATTAGCATAGTGGTGTAACTGTAAATAGATTCATTGTTACTTTGAACAAATATAGTAGAATATGTCATCTATAAATCCCTAAAAATATACTGATATATATATATATATATGTGTGGATATTACTTACTGTCAGGTTTAGTTCTGAAGTAAACTATATTAGAAATGGCTGATTTTGGTGCGGAACCGACAGTAAATGGTTGTATATAAGTTGCATACAAGGTCCATGGGGTTAGATTATACATCAAACCTATCATATAATTTGGATCTTTTTCTTTATCAGGTTCTTTTTCAAAGTTTTTCCATCTGTAAGTAAACAAGCCTGTATTTGTAAAATATATACAGTTCCTAGAAAACAAGAGTTATTTCCCATGCAACTAGTTTGTTTTGTGTAACAGAAAAGGTGTGAGACAAATAAATTATCAGTATAGTTATTGAAGCAAGAGCGGTAACTCTTTCATGATTCACTGAAATTCAAAACACAGGCAAAGGCAGAAACATTTTCAAATATGACTAAAAGAATAATCTGTTTAAATATACTCTTCAAAAAAAGTAGGGGATATTGGAATGCAAATACCTATGCAGGTTGTGATATGATATAGTCATGGACACTTGACATGCTTTGAGAGTATGTTCACAGATAAATAACTTATCGTCCCAACAGAACCACTGAGCTGCATGTGCGACACGAAATAGCGCCATACACGTGGGAGGGGTTCATTGTCAAATTTGACACTTCAAGGAAGGGTTGATGAAAACTGCCGCTTGCTGGTTTATCCTATCCATGTTTGCTTTCCTATCGGTTCTTGCATAAGATTTACTGTTTAGTGTATCTTTGCATTAGTGTGTTACGTTTAATTTGATCTGGAGATGTGTTCGTAAACGTCAACCAACAACACTGCAAGAATTGGCCGTGGCATTGCAAGGGGAGTGGGTCAGATTGCCCAAAATCCTGATTGGACGGTTAATTAGGAGCATGCCACGATGAATTGCTGAAAGTCTGAGGATTGGTGGAGCGATTACTCATTATTAAGACAAAAATCAAAAACGTCCATTTTCACTTTTGACAGTGTATCTCTTTGCGAGTAAAATGGGTCCAAAATCAAGCATATTATTAGTTTCATAGTAAGCACTGCCTTATATGATAAGCGATGATATCCGTGCGACAGCGAGATTGCAGAAAAATGCCACTGTAGATGGGAATTTCTATATGGAGTCTTAAAAGACGTAGTTTCATTACGGAAAATAAGTTCATGGTTTATAGCTAATAATAGGCAGTGATTCACATGGGTACATTTTGAGTCTATGTACGGAATATTTTGTTTTCGGTGAATGAAAAATAGTTAAAATATTGAGTAATGGCAAATAATAGGTTGCCAGGTGGTTCCTGATAAAATTATTGTGTGACGGCAAAGAACTTGAAGTAGAAACAGTGGACACGGGTGTGTCAGTATCGTCACATATTCTTGGTAGAGGACTAGGCAGTAGATAAGAATCCAAGCATTTTTAAAGTTATGACTATCAACTGATTTGGGTTGCTAATATGTTTTATACTATTAGGATATGTGACTTCTATGCCTAGTTTCTACATGCTGTCAGCTAACCTCAAGGAGATTACACAAGGTAATCACATAGATTAAGTTCGTTCGTTCGTTCTTGGTGTTTAAACGTCTGCTTCCACATAAGTGATATCGCAGACAAGACATAGGAGAGCCGAAGCTGATTCCTGTTTTTTAGAATATGATTTTGCAATCTTTCCATTTGGCCTTAGGCCATGGATTTGGTTTAGTGGGAAGTTCTTCCCTTTATTTAATATAAAACATATTGTTTGGTAGATGATCTCGTCTGCTTCTGGATTGGTAGATGTCATCGTTTTAGTGTTTAGGTGCCAGGTACGTCTTATCGTGGCATCCACGTACTCCGCTATCCCACTCTCTGGATTTGGTATCAGTTTTATTTGCGGAATAGTGTTTAGGTGCCGAGTTCATCTGACCGTAACTCCCCCTTACTCCACTATCCTGCTAGTTTGGTAGATGTCATCTTTGTGGGGTTTGTGTTTAGGTGCCAGGCCAGCCTTATCGTGACCTCCCCTTACTCCACTATCCCACTCTGTAGGTTTGGTGTCTGTTTTTGGTGGAATAGTGTTTAGATGCCGAGTCCGTCTGATCGTGACTTCCCCTTACTCCACTATCCTGCCAGTTTGGAATAAATCCCCTATGTAGTTTAGTGTTTAGATGCCGGGCCCGTCTAACCACCATGACCCCCTCTTACTTCACTATTCTACTTAGTCCAATTGTGTCCATTAGGGCGTGGATTTGTTCGAAGATTTGCAGTTTCAGATCTGGTCTCGGGAAGAGTAGGTTCTTAGTGTTGAATGGTATGTTGTTGGTCTCCATTGTTCTCACTAGTTCCCTTCTCTCCTCCTTGTATACCTCGCAGTCTACCAGGACATGGTTGGTGGTACATTCTTCTCCGCACTCACAGATGATAACTTGGTTTTTGTAGTCTCGCAGCCGCTCTTTCACCCTTAGCTTCGATATAAGTCTACAAATATCTCTTCTAGGGTGATTGAGTGTTGTCTTTGTGTAGATCTTGTCATCCAGCCGGAATCTGTATGTGTCAAGTTCAACGAGATTTAATTCCCAGATTGAATTGACCTGTCTTTTGACCATACTGTAGATTTCCGCGGTGCTGTAGTCTATGGTGCGGAGTGGTGCTGTGTCCTTGAGACCTTCATTGGCGAGTCGATCTGCCTCCTCGTTTCCTCTAATGTTGACATGTGATTGAATCCACACGAGTTCTACTTTGCTTCCCTTCTCTAAAACCCTCTGGTACAGCTGCCTGATTTCGAAAATGACTTCTGGTCTTGAGTCCGAGTTGTCATTTTGGAATGACGAACTTACTAGTCTTTTGATGGGAAATCCATGATATAGTGTCACGAATGGCCACAAGCTCTACAGTGTACACCGAACAGTTATTGGGCAGTTTCCTGCTTATTCCCTGTTCCCCGTTTGGCAGGTATATTCCAAACGAACTGGTGCCCCCTTCAGGATTGCGTGAGCCATCCGTGTACATATGGTCCCAGTCATCAGACGGCCAGTTGTCTTCCAGGTGTTCTAGAGAGAAAGCACGTGCAGCAGTGGGGTTGTTTTTCTTGTCGGTTTTCTGTAGTAGATCTAGATTATCCGGCGGTATAGGGAGCGTCCAAGGGGCGATCGCTGGGGGATCGTGTTCATTTATCCGAGCTTCCCCAGTTGCAGTTCCTTGATTGTTTCCCTGATACCCTGGCCGAAGCTTTTTTTTCTAGGATCTCTCACATATCTTGTATTTTGTAGACGGACAAAGGTTGGGGATCTTTCGCCCAGTTGTGAGATCTTAGCCCAGTACCTTGTCGCTAGTTCTTTTCTTCTCAGGGATAGGGGCAACTCCCCGACTTCTTGCAGTAGTGCCTCTCTCCCAGTCCCTTGCCCTACGCCAGTCGCAATACACAGAGCTCTGTATTGGATGGTGTACATGGATTAAGTACTTTCTCAAGATTATTGTATCGATGGTATAACATGATAAATACGTTGATCACTTAATTACTTAATCAGTCCAGCCTATTATCAATGATAATTGGGATGAGTAGTAATTATACAAAATGTGAATGGACGGGCAGTGGCATGTTCAACTTAATTTGGATTCTATTTCAATAAGGCATGTCAAACTTTAAATTTAGATTTCATTCCAATAAGACATGTCAGACTTCAAGTTAGAATGTCATTAATTTTATCTATCTACTTACACTGACTGAGAACAAGCATCTCTTCCTTGAAATATGTCAACACTTTTTGATGTTCTAAAAATAGAAAGAAGTTTATTTAAAGACATGTTTATGGAGAAATTACTTCAATCAAGGATCAATAAAATAGTCTACAGGATATAAAAGCATTTCACAAGTTTCAGGAGTTGAAAAGACTGAAGAAGATACCAATTTTCAGAGGTTTTAAGGTCCATCAGTTTTATTAGGTCTTTTCCATATGATTTCTCTTTCTATTCCTAAATTCAAGTTCTTCAACTATAATCATGCCTTGAACTTTAATTCTCTTGCTCCTTTCCATAAAGACCTAGATTCTTATTCTATTCCAGAAATCTCACTGTAATATTTACAATATTTGTAGCTTTGAACACCACAACCTTTTTGCAACACTACTGTCGCATAAAAACAATTATGTTCGTGGCCACAGACTGAAAACAATTATTCAGGACAAAATCCTGTGGATATATATCCGATGTTTGTTTATGTGGTAGGTGATGAGCAAAATGACCTGTACACTGAATATGCATTTGGGTACTGAAGTTTAGTAAATGCTTATATCTTGATAAATGTAGTCTGTGGGGAGTGTTCAGAAGAAAATGGTACATACATATTTCCATGTCGGCAAATTTAAAATGTATATGTACATAAGTACATTAATGTCAACTGTATTCATTAGGGTGCTCTTAATCTTATAAAAGTTTAAAACTTCATCTTTCATACCCATACTTACACTTTTCTATAATAAACAACATAACTAAATAACATTCGTTCATCAGCTAATGTAAATTTATCCCATCTTAATATAGCTTCTTTAGCAGATATTTTTTCTACTTGAAGATTTAATGTGGTAACCTCACCTATAACACAGAAAGAAATCTTGTTTTAAATCATGTCAACACCAAAAATAGATTACTGGTATCTTAAGCCAGAGACCATCAGTCATCAAGTTTAATGTACATAAATATGCAAAAAACAATTTGTCTCTTTTAGGTCACTTTAATTCTCAAATTAATACTAAGAAACCTAACTATGCAGTACCGTATCTAATTACATAAAGATACATTATGCAAGATATAAATCTGACTATTGCAGATCTTTCTTTTTAGGCCTGAACTGTTACATAACGTCAGTGAAGTTGCAAAACGTCATATCTCCTTTTTTCCTAACTTTACAGGAAACTGTAACTGTTTTTCTATAAAAGATACGAGATCGATCTTTTACGGTTCAACGTTGTATCAACCAGGAAAAAATCTCATACAGTCCATTTAAAGAAATCCACTGTCATTTTTTTGTGTACCGAGTTCAGACAATTTGACACTTAAAATTAGTAATTAATATAGTTTATACAATCTTTTGTTGCTTCTTTCTGATGATCATAAAAAAGTATTCAATTGGACTAGAGATACGATTATTAGATAAAAAGATGCGCCCTACGATTGGGAAATTAGAAATGCAAAAAATCATCTTTCATCAAAAACCGAAGATACAACCTTTTGCAACATCACTGACGATAAACTATTGATTAAATATTTATTAACATGAAAAGACCATAATCAAATCTCGATGTCATATAATCTGCCTCGATCTTCTGTTCTACATCTGTTGATGATTAAACGCAAAAATGGATAATCGATACTTTGTTACTTATCGTGACAGTGCTAACAATGACAATCGAGGCTACAAAGATTTTAAAAAAAGGTTTTCTTGGCCTACAATGAAGCAACTGAAATTTTCAGCATATTCCCTTTACATTATCTAGTTTTTAACTATTATAGTGAGAACTACCAGCTCTTTATCTAATCTTCCATAATGTATCTTTATGAATAAGTAGTGACAATTTAATACGTATTACATCAAGGTATATGTTCAGGGGTGTGATTTTTTATTGTTAAGGGTCACTTTTTTGCTCTATACTATAGACTGCCTACATATATATGGTGCAATGGAAGAAATCAAAGTTAACCAAACAGAAGTGGTTCCAAGTTCATGGACAGATAAGCTAATGAAGTTGTAGCACAAGAGTACTGTCAACTATGGAGAATTCTATCCTTATAATTATAATCTTTACAATCATATGGTTAATCATAGACTGAATATGTTTTAAACAGACAGGGGAGAATAGGTGGCTGAATGATCTAACCTGTGTTAGACTTCTACATGACAAAGAGTTGTTCCGCCTGTCCAACCTCATGGTTTTCTCAGGATCCTCATACAGGTAATAAAGACCTCTACGTGCAAGTGGATTATTGAAATAAATTGAACCCTACGTTAGTCCCGATTTGACCTAGTTTGTGTTGAATAGATGTAAAACCCCATTCTCTGTCTCTCTTTCGAAAAGACAGACAATACAAAGCAAAATGTAAAATAAAAGCATTCTTCAATGTCAGAAATAAATGTAAAACAAATTTTCAATTTAATTCTAATCAATTTTTTCACACGTTTAAACAAAAAACCTGTAAAGAATCTAATAAAGGCTAATTTCAAAACAAAATATATGAAGCCATTTACAAGAAAGAAATTTATAACCATCTATTATTCTTAATGTCTTTTTCAAGATAAATGACAAGTAGCTACTGCAATAGAACATTCATACAGAAATCAGTGAATGGTTTACTTCTCGCAATAAAGAAAAAAAACATTGAAAAGAAACAGAAGGAAGTTAAAACTTACGACATGTAATGAACTTTAAGGAATGAATAAACATAAACTACATTTTTCTAAAGAAATGTTTGTTTCGAGATGATTATTTATGTACCAGTATTATTGTATATAAGGCCACACTGTGCATTTGTAAGTTTTCGAATATGCCAGATAAGAGAGAGAGAGAAATGGGGTTTAACGTCCACTCAACACAAACTAGGTCATTTCGGGACTAAAATATGGTTTAATTTTATTTCACTAATTCGCTTGCGCGTAGGGGTCTTTAGCAGTGGAGGAAAACCGGAGTACCCGGAGAAAACCCACAAGGTTGGACAGGCGACCCTACTCCTTGTTACGTACAACTGGGGATTTGAATCCACACCAGTTGACTCAATGACAGGCATTATGATAAAAATTCGGCCATCAAACCCCAAATATGCCAGATAAAGGGCTTGGTCCGCAACACATATATTTAATTGGATTTTGATTTTTCTATCCAATGAAAAATTCTAAGCAAAGTGCACTTTAAAACAAAGAGATAATTTTAAACATTGAAGGTCCTAGAAAGTAATCATAAAGAAAGCATTGTATAGCAGCATTTAACGAACATGTTCCACCATATAAACAAGCACTGTGACAGAGAGCAGTACTGATTTGTATTTGAATGGCCTTGCCTTTTATTTGATTTTTTTTACTTTTACTTTATTTAGGTGGCATATTAGCATTTAAAGTCTGTAAACATCATTTGAGGAACTAGTTCAATTATATTCAATGTTAATATGATGTCCTGAAAATTTGTCAACATATGGCATCATCCGTAGACAATATAAATGAAATATGGTCAAAAACTAGTGCCACCTATATAGTCTTCATTAAAATATTTTGAGGGTCCTTTTTATATTCCAATTACCATTAAAGCCAAAACAGAAGATTATCTACCATTGACACTTTAATTTCATAATTAGATGTTAAATAATCAATTCTAGTACATTTTAGCACAATCTGATTAAAACACAGATCCTATTTTGTTTCATTTTTTATAGTTCAAAATTTTGTTTTACTACACTAGGATCTGGTTGAGTTGTTATCATTGACATGTTCTGGATGATCTGAGGGATTAGCCAATGAAGCTTTTGGTGTGATGTGCACGGAACTGTGGGTAATCCACTAGAAACATCGATGCTGATTGGTAAATCAAATGTCTGACATCATAGAGTCAAAAGTTTCTTGTATGACCTCTAACGTGAACTCCCAAAACAACTCGTCAGACTTAAAACAAATGACATACAGAGACTTTATCCATGATGAATTATAATCTTTACTTACAAGGAATAGAATCACCATTTGAGTCAGGATTAACATCATTTTTTGTGGTTCTATTGACCAGGTCAACATCTGTTAAAAATTCCTTGATTTTCCAGTAACATAATTTACGATTGTAGTGAAACTTAGCCTTTCCTCTCTTCATTTTAAGTCTTTTTGAAACTTTAGGTAAGAATAGTTCCTTTAGATTAGGATTATCCACAACGATTAGACTGTAACTGAAAAATAAAATACAAAATACCAAAATTCAATTTTCTTTATGCATTTCTCTGAACAAAAAGAAATGACTGAGTCAAGGCTGTCACTGATTTTTTAGGTACAAACGTGGCTTATAATGGAACATTCCATAGTAATACAATCCATCATGTGAATCAATTAGCAAAGTTGTTCCAAACAGAACTATAAAAAACTTGGATGAATGATTAAGAACCAATGGATACAATCAAAAGATTAAAAACAGCAGCTTCCAGATAACTTGCAGTCACGTTGACTCAGTGTGTACATGTATGATGTCTTCGATCCCAGTTCTTCTGTACAGTTTGAATTCAATGAAGAGTGTGTGGAGATGTCAATATCTGGGCAAACCCTTCATGAGCCTGGCTGATGCAGAAAAGTAGGATGCTAAACCTCACTTCATTTCATTTCCACAAAACACATTTATCCAATTGACTGATCATATGATTCATTCACACTTAGAGCATGTCTTGTGCACAATAATAACTAGATCAAAAAATCATTACTACATTCAATAATAATATAAATAATTTGTTGTTCTTACTTCTTAATCTCTTCTGTATTAGTACCACCTGGACCTCGTCCATGAATAACTTTGAGGTTTTTAAAGAAATGTAGCGACAGAATTGGATAAGACCTTACTATCTTTATATAATATGTCACTTGCTCTATAGCACCCAGACTATTTTCAAGCTCTATACCAATGTTACCTGTAAAATATATATTTAATACATTTAATTTATAATATTATAGATAACTGAAAAAGGGTAGTATAACACAAAAATTTATGACGATTAAACCACCACTCTATTCAATTTAAAATCTCTTTCGTACTATTATCATTAATATTATTGCACATTTGTATAGCGCACAACTTCAACGACTAAGACTAAGTACTCATGTGCGCTTCACGAAATATAGTACAGAAAATTAAATTTACAATGAAGTATCTATATGTATCTACTCTCTCTGCCAGTCATCATCGATTGATTCAGCAGCTAAACAGATCTACCGGCCTGTCAAACCTTTACTACTCTTTTACTACTCTGATAACTTTGTCAAGATAGCAGACATAGAACACACACAATCCCGTCTACAAACAAACATGTAATTTAATTACATCTTGAATTTGTATAGATCATTATCTCTATCACAATTTATGCTATTTTGCTAATGTTAATTTTAAACAGGGCTGACAATAATATACAATTGCATTTCAAAGTGGGCACATAAAAACTATTACAAGCCTGAATAACTTATATGATCAAGAGAAACAAAATATTACATGTATAATAAAAAATAATTAACAACAGAAAGGAGATCTAAAGGCTTTATGCATTTAAACGACTCTACTGATTTAGCTTATAATCATTCATAGGATATATGTCCATCTATTTTCTATGCTTTGTTTAGTTGGCAGAAATTCTTTATCAGTACCATCCAGTCTAAGAACCAGACCCCACAGTAGATTACTACCAAATAATTTATAACATTACTATCTATCTTTAAGTAGCCATATTGTTATAAATTTTTAACAAACCAACAACAGTAAGACAAGTGTCCCCGACAAAATAAATGACACTTAATAAACACTTTCACTTATCTATGTATGACACTCTGAGCAATTCTCTGCTTAACCTGAGCAAAATATGTTCATCATCATACATAGTCTCGTTATTGATGTATTTTAACTATAAACCAAGTTTCATCACTCTCACCGAATTAGAGACAAAATTAGTGTGTTCCAAAGCATCAACAAATAAACTGCTCAGACTAAGCAGAAAATGCTCATAATCAAACTCAGTCAAGATATTTGACTGTGGAAAATCTACACCAATTTAAACGTTCTATATCAAATAAAATCAAAGTTTTTGTAGTCCATATCATTGACAAATTAAATTGCTTGATGTTCACCATCAGACTCACTCAAGACATTCACCTAATGAACATATACCTACACCCAGTTTGACCCATTCTTGGTATCCCCGGTGCCATCGTTCCATTCTACTCTACCAACCTCTGGGTCCATTCACGTGGTTTTCATGAATTCAAATGATCTGCCCTTGGCCGTAACTCGATTCTACGAACCAATCAAAAAACAGTTTACATATCAGTCTTAGCGTCATTTTTTTTCGTTCACCACAAAACAACAATAGTCGCAATAAAATTTGAGTTACTTCCCTTCGCTCACTCGATTAGTCTATAAAAATAGCAGGAGTATCAAGGGTGGATAATCAAATCTCTGATGTAAACGTGTCATTCTGTACCTTCATTGATACTACTGTCTACCATCGTGATGTGATCGATAATATCGATCTATTTTTGTCCAAATTTGTCACCGATTGTCAGGGAGGTGTAACTCTGTATGTAATATAGAAGGCGTTAAAACTTCTGTTTAGCAACAAAGTGGCAATGGACAATAGATACTAGATGATCGTGACAAAACTCGGCTTTGTCGGTTCTTATAGTTGATTCAATCAATATCAAATAATGTTTCTCGTTACGTGTGAAAACAATGATCAGCAGATCAGGGTTTGTAATTTAACAAAAGATAATCGCGGGTTTATTGTTATTTTCACAGTTCTTTTTACCTAATCGGTGGGTCCAGATAATTAACTATTAATCACAGGATTACCGAAGGTGCTACGAAGTACGACAAGACGGTATCATTCAACAATGGTCGTGGAATAGGCAAAGTTTTGTTAAATTTATAACTAAAACAGTGACCGCTGGTCGTGTTAGAGGTGTGACCGTTGATTAAAGAGATGAAACAATAGAATTTCTATGGTGGGGAATTTATCATGACCGCTTACAAGGAGATGTCGCTGAATAGGAGCGGCTGCTCATAAGGATTCTACTGTAATGCATATAAATTTCATACAGATCGGATGATAACTTTAGTTGTTATAGCATTCACATGGTTCAACAAAGTGAAACAAAGGCAATAACTCTAGAAGTAATTAACGGAAATTGTTGAAATTTGGTAGGCTTATTCGTTTTATCGATCTAAAAATATAAATTTTACACAGATCAGATGATGACTATTGTCGATAGAGCATTCACAAGGTTCAAAGTCAAACAAAAGTCATAGCTAATGTAAATTATTCATATAAATTTCATACAGATCGGATGATAATTTTGGTTGTTAGAGCGTTCACATGGCTCAAAAAAGTGAAACAAGGGAATTGTTGAAATTTAATAGACTTATTCATTTTATTGATCTAAATAATGCATTTAAAATCCATACAGATCAGATGGTAACTATTGTAAATGGAGCATTCACGGGGTTCAACAAAGTGAAACAAGGGCCATAACTCTAGAAGTAATTAACAGAAAATGCTGAAATTCAAAAAGATTCTTTGTTTCACTAATCTAACTTATGAATATAAATTTCATACAGATTGGATGATAACTTTTGTCATTCACAAGGTTTAAAAGGGTGAAACTAGGGCCATAACTTTAGACATAATTAATGGAAATTGGTGAAATTCAATAGGTTTCTTCATTTCACTAATTTAAATGATGCTTATAAATTTCTACAAATGAGATAACTTTTGACGTTAAAGCATTAACAAAGAGCAACAAATGAAACAAGGGCCAAAATTTGAGAAGAATTTAATGGAATTATTGAAATTAAATGGGCTTCTTCATCTCACTAATGTAAACAAAATGTATCAATTTCAAAACAGTCAGATGAAAAACATCGTTTGTAGGGTGTTCACAAGAAATTGTGGACGACAGACAAACATGGACGTCGGCAATATACGACTACATTTCCATGTCGGCATATTAAATCCAGTTCTTCATTTAATACAGCTGTTGACAATAGCAAGACTGACGATCACCAACATCTTTTTTTCAATTTTCCCTAAATGGTTCTATTGGAGTTGTGGCTCAAATTGCCTTAATATTTTTACAGAATGTTCAAATATAGCATCTGTCATATAAGCCTGTGTAGTAGCAGGCAGTAAATTTTGTCTAACATATCATGACGACAGTCAAAGTCTTATTCCATTCACTGTAACAAGAGGATTTTGCAAGATTCGGTAAGTAACTGAAGCCAAAGTAAGGATAAAGGGGATGTCTGATTTATATAGGATATTTGTGAAAGAATGTGTACTTACTGCCTCCGTCTATCTGTATTACTATTGCCCCATTAATAATAGTACATCCACTAAACACCTGCGCTGAATCAATGCTATCAACAATACCTCCTAAACATTCTGTTAAAATTTATAAATTCAAAAATAATATATATATTCAAATTCACTTTTACATAACGTCACAGATCTGTAAAATGAAGCAGTGGACCTTGGCCAAGGCCATCTTCCATTATCGGAAGTTCTCTTGCAAGACATCAAAGAAATAGATTTTGGAATAGCACTTTTTAGTACAGGTAATTATATGTAATAATGATATCGACCATCATTTTGTAATCCTGTGCCTCTATGTAAGGTCCATGCTACCAGTCAGAGGCACTATTACTGTACATGTCTGCGCAGATTTGTCAATTTTCTGTATTTTTGTTGATATTTTTAATACATGAAAATAACCATTTTCAGGCCTGATCATTGACATCTTGATCTGTTTCAATCAGCTTGATAAGTTGTATATGAGTCAGGGTTATCTAAATCTGGAGTGATGCAGATTAAAGCCAGGGTTTTCAACATGTATGTAGACTAAATACAGCCATTGAATGTGAAATATGTAGGTCTACGTCAATGAAGGCATGTTACAATGTTCCAGTTATAGTTCGGTTAATTCTTAGCATAATTTTTTTTATCCAAGAGATTGACACCGATACCTGATCTTGACACTCAATTCTATTTTGTCAAATCATACAATCTCGGTCGTCAAAAACAGCTTGTATTGTGTCTGTTCATAACTCAAAGAAGTTCAGCAACAGATTCAGCAGCTAAATACATATGTATTATATGTACACAAGAAAGTCTGCCACTACTACATAAATATTTTTATATGTTATGTATATGAATTGTATACAACCTGAAATAGGTGTTGAGATTAAATAATCTTATCGAACTTGTGCTTATGGTCAAACAGTGATTGCAAGTCTAACTTGAGTCATGCTTGAAAGGAGCTTAGCTTTTCCAAGGATGATTTGCTCAAGCTCAAATTGGCAAACCTACTAATAATAAAGCTGATCTTTCTTATTAACCCCTTTTTTTAACATTTAATCCGTTGATCGTAATTTAGATTTTTCCAACAATATCTAACTTTATCAGGCACTCAGTGCACTCCAATTGATTACATTTTGAATAAATGTATGAATAAATAATAATTGATCATCATAGAGCTGCCTATCATATGTCACATGGATTGATTAAAATATAGAGCTTTTTGCACTAAGAATGTCTTTTATAAATAAATATCTTATAAACAGCTCACAAAATCTTTAATTTCAGAAATTTCATAATTTCATTTACACATAAAATCTTCAAAGCTTTCAAGATATGCAGACTCTATTTACCCAGCATGTGAATAGAAACAGACTTTTAAATATTTACTTAACATGTCTAACGTCTTAACTGTTTAGCTTTAAGCAGTGTTAATAACCTATATATTTTATATTCTAATGGATGGCAGTGTCTTATGTCTGTTTTTAGTCAACTTCACTCAGCTTCTGCGAGTAAACACAAAAAAACACAAAATCTTATCTAATTTATTTATTGATAACTGCTGCTGACACGTATCGGAATTTGGGCACCACCAGTTCACATACAGTGAACAATGACTAAACTCCTGATCGAGAATATGTGATTGTTTTAGTCTGCTGTCTGAAATGCCTTTGATCATATTCTTGCCCTGTATGATTTCTGATTTGTTATTTTCTGTCTATATATTTCCCTACACATTTGTTACTGTTCATGCTTGAAAGCGATGATAGAATACAGGCCTTCACGTTTGAGGCGCGCTCTTGCGCTCCATCCCTTGTCTAAATCCCAATCTAGGTGATATCCTCAGTCCTCTGAAATCTCTCTTCCAACTGCGTATTTTATTTCCCAAAAAATGTGATGTTTACTTCGTATTTACTTCCCATTAAATAGCTCATGATCACACAAAATTTTTGTTATCTGTGATCATTTTCCTTCATAAGAATTGGTCACGTACGTGGACGCCATCACGCTATTTTAATAATTTTCCAACCCAAAGAAACAATCACTAGGCAACTAAATTTGACTAACATTGTACACACCTGAAAGCGTTCCCTATTATTAGATTTTAATGAACACAGGTTAACTTATTTTCTGCTAATCCATAATGCACAACTTTGGCAGCAAACACTCCATTTTTAAATTCTCGGCAATAGTAGCATTATACTGTGATCTTGCATGAAAACAGTTGCTAATGGTTAATTTTGATGAGAAAACTTCAGGCTTGACACGGGCGTGAATAACAAACAAGACCCGATAATACGTGAAAGATGATTGCCATGCTTTTTTATGAGTGATTTTAACTATCGATGAATTTTAAAATACTCTTTTATAAAGAATATAAATGATGTTTAGACATTACGAACTACAAGTATATCATTTTCTATTATATAAATGAAGGAATTAATTATTGAGGAATATTATTAATTAACTGACGTGAACTTAAAAGTCGTTACAGGAAGTAAATATAGACCAGCGGTTGCCATGCAAGATACGCCCACATTTTGCAAAAGATGGATATAGATCAAACTAAAAAAAATAACATGAGATTTTTCATAAAATCAGGGTCCATAATCAAGGAAGTTATGGTGTGAAATGCGCGAATAACGAAGATACTAAAATCTTTGGGATATAAACATATATTTTTAGTTTCATCAAAATTGGACAAATATTGTGACCTCTAGAGGCTCCACAACCTTCGTATTACATACTTTTACACTATTTGCATACAAGAAACGGTCATTTTTCTCTGGCAGTTAAGTTTTGATTTTCCCGAAATTTGAACTCAACTTTCATTATGGTGTAACCGTAATATATTTCAACGTGATTTTTCTTACAATCAGGAGCCATAATCCAAGAAGTGATGGTCTGATATGCGGGAATATCGAAAGGAACCGAGATCTTTAGGATATAAACACATCTTTTAATTTTCATCAAAATCAGATCAAAATTGAGTTCTCTAGAGGGTCCACCATCTTGATATTACATTTGCATACAGTGAGGGACCACAAGCTAAAAATCAGGGGTCATAATCCAGGAAGTTACGGTCCGATATGCGTAAAAATCGAAAGAAACAACCTTTGGGTTATAAAAAAACATACATTTCAAGTTTCATCAAAATCAAAAAAAAATTGTGACCTCTAGAGTAAAGTTACGTTCTGATACATGCCGATATCGAAAGAAACCAAGATATTTGAAAGATATATCTATATTTCAAGTTTACGTAAAAATCAAATAAAAATTGCAACCTGTAGACTGGATAGAAATTGTGGACGGATGTCCGGACAAAGGCTACAACAATATACGTCCACATGACAATGTGGGCGTACAAAAATACTGAGGTGCATCTATTTTTCTTTTTTATTTAAAACAAAATATTATAATATTATAATAGCAATGCAGTGTTTTATTCATCAAATAAAGTGCATTACATATGATTGCACGCATTATCTCCTGTCTGCAATTCCAGGAGAGTGATTTTCAGTTTTTTACCCATCATGATTTTTTAGACGAGAAGGCCTGTAGAATACTCTTTGAAACTTCCCTCAATTAAATTAGTAAACGTTTATCAATAAGTATATATGTAATCGTGAATTATGTATTGGAATTGACAGTTCCACGTACTTAAAGGACAATATTGGTGCCAGTCATTATCACATATGTGATAGAGCTGGTTAAACACATTCCAAATATAATTTTAACACAGAGATCATTGCTACGATAGCTGAGTAATACAGGTTTCCTGAGTCGGAAGTGACGAACGCCAAACGAAAAACACGAGTCATCTCTCTATATAACTGACTGATGTGACGAGTGATAACGGATATACGGCCGAATTTCTGCTCACTGATAATTCCTTCGAAGACCAAAAGTTGATATATGGGACTGTAAGAGAATACCTGACAATTCAATAAAGTAATTGAATGTCATTAGATAAGAGAACACGAGAAAAATAGAAATAGTCCGTACATTCCCTTGTTTATATTCATTCTATATCTTATAAAAACATGGTAATGCACGGACTTTTTCTGTTTTTCTTTCGTGTTCACTTATCTAGTGGCAGTCAATTCTTTTTATGAATTGTCAGGTATCCTCTCACAATCTCATACAACAACTTTTGGTCTTCGAATGAATTATTAGTGAGCAGAAATTCGGCCGTATATCCGTTATAACTCGTCACATCAGTCAGTTATATAGAGAGATGATTCGTGTTTTCCTTTGGCGTTCGTCACTTCCGATTCTGGAAAACTGTATTACTCAGCTATCGTAGCAATGATCTCGGTGTTAAAATTATATTTGGAATGTGTTTAACCAGCTCTATCACATATGTGATAATGACTGGCACCAATATTGTCCTTTAAACAATGAAACAAATAGGAGTAAGGCAGATATTCATATCCTATTATTAAAACAGGAAGCTCTTCAAATATAAATATTGGTTCCAATATATATTTTAATCCAATCAATATATACATACCTTTAGGACACTGATCTTTACATTTGACACATCGACTATCAACTATAGTATAACCAGTAGGACATTCTTTAGCACATATCTTTTCTGTCTTGTTATTCAGAAGATCAGACTCAAGAGTTTTATAATGCCATTCATTTTTATTGCCTCTTTTTGGTGTCATCTTTCTGTTACATTCTTTTTTTGTTAAACATAATCTATTTTTCCACTGTAAAATCAATTTAATGTAAGAAATAAAATTTGATTTAACCTCTCGTTATCACATGTTCAGAATAACATGCAGGACGTACATGAGCCTTCCTATCAACTATTCTTTGAAATTCAATGTTCAACGGCTCTTTTACATGGATGCTCATTCATACATATATGCATAAACCTCAATAATAGGAACACATTTCAAGTCCAGAGTGAACAATGAAGCAAGCTTAAAACTTAGTAGAGACTGGGTGGTTAGGGACTAACTTCATTACCATATATATCATTGCAGACAACACTGTCCACATCACATAACTCATCCCCCTCAATTGGAATCTTTGTTAAATCTGTGATGCTGGTAAATTTTTTAAAATTCTTATATGAAACAATGTAATGTATATTCAGTGGTATTATCTTTTAAAAGCGCATGCTGCGCATTTGATTCTGCGTTATTATTCTAAATCAATGTCACAAATATTCTACGGGGAGTAATTCAAGAAACATTAGAGTTACACTGTGAACAAACTTTAGATTCTTGAAATCTGTTCACGAGTCAGACCTGTCGTCAGATAGTTGCATGTTCCATCCCATTTCTATCTTGTTGTTTAATTACTGTGTCCTTAAAATAAGACACCCTATTCCTATTTTCCAGGCGATGCCCATTAATGTTAGGACAACGGAAGGTAACCAGCGGCTGCCAGGCAGGATACGCCCACATTTTAGAGAGATGGATAGAGAACAAGCTAAAACGAAAGTGATTTTTCCTACAATCAAGGGCCATAATTCATGAAATTACAATTCGATATGTGCAAATATCGAAAGGAACCGAGATCTTTGGGTTATACTTACATTTCAAGTTTCAACAAAATCGGATAAAAATTGTGACCTCTATAGGGTCTACAACCTTGATATACCATATTTTTACGCTATTTGAGAACGAGGGGCATTTTGTCTATCAGTTTTGGGCTGATTTTCACGAAATTCAAACTCAGTCGTCCTTAGGGTGTAACGGTGATATAATAATACGTTTTTTTAAATTGGATAAAAATTATGACCTCTATAGGGTCCACTAGCTAAAAATGCGATTTTTTGTACAATCAGGGGCCATAATTCAGGAAGTTACGTTCCGATATGCACGAATATTGAAAGGAACCGAGATCTTTGGGTTATATGCATACATTTCAAGTTTAAACCAAAATTGGATAAAAATTGTGACCTCTACAGTGTTCACAAGCTAAAAATGTGATTTTTCGTACAATCAGGGGCCATAATCCATGAAGTTACAGTCCGATACATACCAATATCGACAGGAACCGAGATCTTAGGGTGATAAACCTATATTTCAAGTTTCATTGAAATCGAATAAAAATTGTGACCTGTAGACTGTTCACAAACAATTGTGGACGGATGTCCGGACGGACAGGGGCAACGACAATATACGTCCACAGGAAAATGTGGGCGTATAAAAACTGGGGAATGAAATGTATTTCAGTGGGTGACACTCAGAGCTGGATGAAAGACCACAAAATTTCATAACAGTTTACTTTTGATACTGTCTGCAAAAATTAACAGGCCAGACTTAAGATACTGTCAGCCACAATGATTTTTCAAAATTCTGTTAACTTAAAGAAAAGATATTTGGCTTGCCATTTAGTGACTAAATACAACTAATCCAGCCTTTGGAATCTGTCTACTACTCACATTATCTAGTCAAATTTATTTCCATGCATTCACAAAAACAATTAAATTAAAGAAATTTCTAATAGCAAAAGGAAAAACCTCTATAATAGCTTGATGTGTGTACAAAGTTTCATTGAGATTTCTTAAAGCAGTTTATGAGATTGGCAAAGAAACAAAACAGAGATGGAATGACAGACAGACGGACAGACAACAAAATCTCATTTCAATATGCCTCCCTTTTGGCCAGAGATAATAAAAATGTTCAAAACAGCAATTCATTTTATTAATTCATATCCAGAACTTATCACTGAATTTGATTAACATTAAATCTAGTGGGATTAAATCTCTATTGATTTCTTAGATTACAAATTAAATGGTTCCCAAGCCCCTTTCTCTCCACAGTCTTCTTTAATGAGACAATTTTACTTCTTCACGATTCAAAGTAATATCATTATTACTATCCCTTAATATTCTTCTCGTAGTAAAATCAAATCTGGATGTTTAGAGAATTAGGCCCGAGTTATCCAATATTGATAACTTTAAGCTTCTTCGAATGGTACAATTACATTCAACCAAAATTATGCCCAACACTACATGGATTTGTTGTGTCTGAAATAAATATTTTACAGACAATTAACAGCTCTAAATTCCCATAAGGATCTTAAAACTCTCAACAGTCTGTCTACAAAGTCTCACAAAACTTTCTCAAAATGGAGACCCCGGAGAAAATTTAAGCAAGCAAAGGAAACAGGACTTCTATCAACAACTTCCTGTAACTGTATTTTAGGTGTTAACAAATCAACGACTATCTGTAATATATTTTATGACTTCCTGTGAATTCCTATAGTGTTTATATTCATAAAGGCATAATTTCAACAAGTTTTTTCAAAAGGCAGGTCGTACAGGCAAAGAAACATGTCAACAAAGTTAGTTGCATACCGGCATTATTATTCAAATTGATCAAGGACCATAACTCTTAGAGTGATTATCAGATATTGTTGAAAATAAATGAGCTTCTTTGTCTCATGAACATTAACACTGTGTACAAATTCAAGTTAATTGGATGATAATTTTAACCTCGAGATAAGAGCGTCAACAATATTTTCAAATTGATCAATAGCCATAACTCAAAATGTTAAAAATAAGCTTCCATCCCAGGGTGACAACAATCTACACCTAGTCATGCCAACCAATCTGATTAACACATAGATCTTCTTTCGTTTCGTTTTTTATAGTTCAAAATTTTGTTTTACTTGTCTTTACTACATCTGGAAGAGTTGTTATATAACCCGCGTTTTGGATGAAGTGACGGATTAGCCAATGAAACGGTCTGTTACGGCAAAGTTTTGGCGTGAGGTGCACGGAACTGTGGGTAAACCACTAGAAACGTCATAAGATCAAAAGCCACTTGTATGACACCTGACATGACGTTACACTACAACTGATCAGATCTTCATGTAGTGTAGGCCATCGAAATGAAATATAGATCTGTATTTTAATCAGATTGTATTCCAACAATCTATGGCCACATTTCAAGGGGTAATTAAGAGCAATCATCTAATTTCAATTAAAAAGATCAACATAGCTATTAATAAACATTTTTATTTTTGTAATATCATAATATACACATAATGTATCTTACCTTATACGTATTATCCGGGCAGGTTTCTCTACATTCATTTTTATACAAAACATTTTTACATGCCACACAATCTTTAATTGATGGTCCTGTACATCCTCCTGTACAATTTGGATGGCAACATTCTTTCGTATTAGCAATACAAAATTTACAAGGACAATCTGAAAATATACATGTTTAATAATTAAATTATATATTGAGCAACAAGTTTTTTTAAAAGTAGAACAAAAGTGACAGATTGCTAGATATTATAATAACAAACTTTTCCTTCAATAAACAAAAACTGGAGTTTGTCAGGTCCCCTAGGCCAACGGCAGCAATAGCGGAAATCAAAAAGTGTTGAAAATCAATTGGCTCCTTCTTCTCATAGTAGAGTTCTATATGATAAATAAAACTTCCTAATATTGGTAAGTCATATCTATGACAAGCCTGACGGTTAGTTTCCCCATTTATTATCAATAAATATAAGGTCATACAGTATCAACTGATTTATATCAATTTAAACCTGGACATCAAATGTAGTAAACCAGTCTACTAACCAGTCAACAACTTGATTGTTGAGACTATTTTATACAAAACATTAGAAACAGCTTTGATAAAAATTGGAATTCTGAATCGTGTCAGCACGACAAAACAACTAAAATTATTGAAATATTGAAAAATAAATCCAACATACAGTCTAAATTAGTGTAATTCAGACTGGTTAATAAATAATATATTCTAGGGGCTTTAATACTGGAGGTAGCCACAGTGGTGTTCATGTAACAGAATCATTGGCTGGAATTCAATGAAAAGTAAATAGAAACAGGGATTACAATATCCTTATTTTTTAAATTTAATATTGGCTATTCTGTCCTTATTTGTTTTGATTTAATCTGTGCTGGAAATTTCCTCATTTCTTTTATATATATATAATCTGGACTGCCAATGTCCTTATTTATTTTGCTTTAATCTTCTAAAATGAATTCTACAACTATTATGAGCTAAAACAACCCAAGGTTTCCAGCAAGCTTTGTTAAGTTGCAGTCTTGAACAGTAGATTCCAGTCACAAATGAGATGTCCACAAGAAAAGAAGAGAGCATGTACAGCGATTTGACGGGCTATACTATATACCGGAAAACACCGGAAAACACCCGGAAAACACCATGTTATACTGAATACCGGAAAACACCGGAAAAACACTAAATACTGGAAAACACACTAAATACCGGAAAACATCCTAAACCTAACCCTAGCCCTAACCCTAACCCTCTGCAAACAGAGGACCAGGCTCTTTGTTACCTATTTAGGGTGTTTTCCGGTATTTAGTGTGTTTTCTGGTATTTAGTGCTTTTCCGGTGTTTTCCGGTATTCAGTATAACATGGTGTTTTTCGGTAGTTTTCCGGTTGTTTTCCGTTGTATTGACGCGATTTGACCCCTATATGATGCTAGCTGTATGTTGCTAACATCACAGGGTAAAATGTATTTTGTAAGCTATTTATTCCTGGGTTAGTAGCAATTTGAATCTAGCTAGCTTGGGTACCCCTGATCAAATAGGAAATACACATACACATAGGAGAAACTTCTTTAGAAGCTTTTTCAGAATATTTTTATGTTCACTAGGATCTACCATATACAATTTTTACATTTGCTGATAAATGGGGAGCTATAGTTGTTAATTAGTATCTTTTTTTTTTTTTTTAAAAGATATCAATAATGATATGTATCTTATCAATGGAAAATGCTCATTATTTCTACCTCTTTATTCACCCTTACAGATAAACAACTATTTTCCCTGTTAATAAGAATCCTTTAACGATACCCTCGCATATCTATCAAAGGAAAATACTCATGTATCATTGTTTTATGCACAAATCTGCAATAATAGTATACTGATTGAATTTGAAGACTAAAACCTAGCATGAGGGCTCCTTTTTCTTGTTAGGACATAATAACTGATGAGGTGTCACTACACAATTTTATTTCTTAAATAATATAGATTGCTGAGGGCTATAAGTACTTAATATGACGTGTAGTTCCTACACCCTGAATCTGGTCACTGTATTAATAGTAACAAAACCATCAATTGTATTAGAAATAGGATATCTATAGGATACTTGAACAGTGTCAACACCCTAGATAACATTGTTCAATATTAAGAGTTAGCAGGACAATATATTGCAAAATCATTCCGGATTCCGGATACACGATACATTGTGTCAAATAATGCTTCAAATCGTTCAAAATATAAATAAAAAATATACTTTTAAAATTTGTGAGATTTTTTCAAATATATGGAAAATCGATAGGGCTTTTCATATACCCTACTGAACAATACCACTGAATTTTAAAAAACTTTGGTCAACAAATCTGATCCATATCAGTTTCAGAAGCTTTCATAAAATGCAACAATTGTAAGTAAGTCATCCAAGCAGTCTACAAAGAGCATATTCATTCTTTTGTAGGCAACAGGAGTGTTCACAAGCCATAAGTTAGGGTTGCCAGGCAACAAAACAAACATTCACACTAGCCAATGGAAGGAATGATAAATACAGGACCAGATTTCAATGTGGGCATATAAAAATTCTCTTTGTAAAATATTGCCCAAGGAGATCTATCAGTATGACGAACATTAGTGCTAATCGAAACTAATTATTAGGTATGATGTTAATACAGAGAATTGATCGAAGACAATATCAATATTTCTGGGTATTAAACTAAGAGAGATAGACATAATGAATGGCAGGTGGTTGAAATAAAAGAAGACCGTTACGAACAACAGTCTGTTTAAAGTGTGAAGTGGAATTGGGGTTAGATATATTAACCTGATTGTCCCCTGATTATTACAGATCAGTTGTATTGTATGGCATATTACTATTCCTTTACCTGACAATTGTAAACATTACAGGTTTCTTAGCTCACTCTACAAACATAGTTCAATCATTATGCTGCACAGTACTCTACATACATAAAATCGGTTGATCGATAACTCATTTTTCTTACATAATATTAGAAATATTCCATTATATCATCCTTAATATAAATTAGTAGCTTATAGGTATTATGCAAAAGCTGAATCTGCTTATTGCAGGTCTTTCTTTATCTCTTAAATATTATATAAATTATTAATTAGATATTAACTAACTAAGACCATAATCAACTCTTGATGCCATTGTATAGTCTTAGATTTTCAACAAATTTAAATCTGATCTCGGCTCAGAGTGAAGTAATTTGACTTAAATTTTCAACATATTCCCTTTTCCTTATCTACTTTTTTTTAACTATTATAGCGAGAACTGTCTGTCAGCTCTTTATCTTACATAATGCTCCTTTAATGTATTGTCGTCAACATGTCTGAGAATCTGCCCTTTCTTTACATATAACTTTATAAAAGTCCCTTGAATTTAAATTCCTTACCGACTACATTATTGTCAAAGGAATATCGATGCAAAATGGTTCAATTCCATTCAGTATTAAACTATTATCCAAGATATGATGAATTGAAAACTGGCTTTCAATTTATTTCTTCCAAAATGGATAATAATTTGTATATAATTAAATGTTTAGATATTTTTTCCGACAACTGGAATATATCTGCCAAAATTGTGTAATAAATTGTAACAATTTTATTTCTCAGGTAGGTCTATAATAAAACGAAATGAAATGAAATGAAATGGGGTTTAACGTCCTACTGTTCTGCTCCGAACTGGGCTAATGAAGAGGGCATACACCATACAGTGTGCTATGAGGGAAATTTTGCCCGAACAGTGGCACCACGGCCTACTCTTATATCAAATTCCAACTGTCAAGGGATCTTTTACGTGCACGCCAATGTGTACACGGGGCCTCGGTTTTTTGTCCCATCCGAATGACTAGGCAGCTGTCCTTGTCAGGCCCTCCATCCTGCATCACTGACAAGGGGGAACCACGCCGGAAAATCTGGACTAACTTTCTCAGCCAATGCAGGGATCGAACACCCGATCTCCAGGCTAGCAGGCCAGCGTTTTACCCACTTAGCCACGTGATCCCCCTATTATAAAACAATTACCGGTATAATTACAATACACAACAACTTAAAAACCTGTCTTTACGTAATACATTAGCCCAGTTTTGAGATAATTTGCTAAAATCAGATTTTATTTTTGGTGACTTTAGTCTTTTCGCACACCATATTGCACAATATATTTTCAGTATTTGTGACCTGTGCTGGCAAAATGAGCTGGAATGAGCAAAGTCTAATAATGAGCTACAGATAAAACAAGTGTAAATATTGATTTTGATCGAAATTGAGGTTTTCACAAAAATGAGTCTATAAATATACTATCTTTCGATACAAAAGATCAAAATAGCAATAAAACATTTTAAAACACCTTAATTTGGAGTACCGAATTCATAAATCTGTCTTTTTTCTTAAAATTCTCAGCGAAATTAGTTATTTTTCTCTGCTCGCAGCGGGACGACTGGTCAATCCTTTTACATAATGATTGGCATGATTGTAAGGTGGCGAATCTCTAGTTTATACACATGACCAAAGTATTGTGGATGAATTCATTTTGAACGAATACAAATAAGTTTTAAAACCCCTACAAAACATAAACAAACCCCACTTGTTGCTATACAGTCAGCCCAGTTTGTTTGCTGATCGGCCCAAACACACCGTGCAAAGCATTGTGGTAATATGGCTGTCTCAAGGATTTTGGCGATAATTTTTGAGGGTACATGCGAAGTGGCAGAAAAAAACCTTAAAATTCTGATCATGTATTGATTGCTGTTGTGTTAACCAAAATACTAGTAATGAAAATTCATCAACAAGCGGATCGTGTAATTGAATAATACTAATCAATTGTCACAGATTAATGATTAGTTGATTGGTAATTACCAATGATAAGGCTGTCGACAAATCATTATTCCGAATAATTAATACAAGGTCTGTCACTGAGTCAACTGGCGTGGTTTCAATTCCCTGGTTTTATGTGACAAGAAGTAGGGTCGCCTGTCCAACCTTGTGGGTTTTCTCTGAGTCCTCCAGTTTCCTCCCATTGCTGAAGGCCCTACATGTACGTGCAAGGGAATTAATGAAATAAAATTGAATCATATGTTAGTTCTGAAATGACCTAGTTTGTGTCCGTAAAACCCTCCCTCTCTCTCTCCTCTCTCTCTCTCTAACTTCTGAAAAAAAT